AAGAAATGTCAAAGTATATGTTTTAAAGATTATTGCTACTTTTGGATCTACAAATTGTATTAAAGACATTAATACACGTCTTAGTTGTACCAGAAGGTGATAATCGGCCCTGAAAAGAATAATGCCCTCGAGCTGAAGCCCTCGGGGCCATTATTCAATTTGAGGACCGATTACAACCTTCCGGCCCTACTCTGCCGTGTATTAAACTCTTAATTTAGTTCGCTTTATTTACATTAAAGTGATTAGATACAAGGACGTGAAACCAGAGAAACAATTGAAATGCTCTCTGAAAATAGCGGATGCCGGACAATGTGCTTCGTTTCTTCTAATGCACTGCGGACAAAGTTACTATGCACTTATTTCCAAAATAGTTTGTTACAAATCCTTTGTGATCATTGATTTCAATACTTCTATCATTAAATGATACATTGAAAGCGATGCTGAGATATGTACAAGAGGAATGAATATGCTCCCATTAATAACGAACAACTTATCCAATAAAGCATGTAATATTCGTTATAACTTTGAGAGTTGCACTCTATAAATCTCCTTTTTTGAGCATCAGACTGATGATTCTTTTAGTTGGTTAACCCTATAACATGTTATGAAAGAGTTGGTAAAAAGAAATCAATTATATCGCACGCACACTTAGGCTTTAAAATAATTTAACAATTAATAATTTTTGCTACAAATTCTTACTAGCCGCTAATGTAATACAGTAAACACATCTTCTTAAGACTAACATGACCAGAAACCAAACACTAGGAAGCCAATGTTGATGGAGAGTCAAAAGCAAAAAGCTTAGTTTCGGAGCGCACTTCAATCTACTCGACAGAACTCTTTTAGATGTGCGATAGTTTACAAATTCACTCACTCAAAACAATCGTCAGACTATGTTACACACCACTAAGGGCCAAAAGTAATTAATATTCTTATTGTATTCTTATAAATGAAATACCGAGAAAAAAAAATGAAATTAAATGTGTATTTCATGGTTCGTATATTCATTTAAAAATTTATTTTTCACTACAGTGAAACATAGTTTACTTACTTTCACTAGTGTCTTGTCGACCTTTTTTCTGCTATATTCAGCCGATAAACAAAATGAAATAAGAGATCATTGTAATTGTAAGGTCAACAAACGCATAATGTATGTAATAAACAGATAAAAACAAGGTTTTGTTTTATAAATACAGGATTTATTTTCATTTTGTTGTATGAAAAATATGATGTGTCACCGGTCACTACCGCCACTCATGAAATATTTATTTAAAAAAAAAATCATACCCACCGTGCATATCCAGTAACGCGTGAATGTGCAATTAACATAACAGTAACAACGAAAGTGTGCAACGCTATTGACGAAACGAATAACACGGTAAATAAAGGAACCAAAACATTTTATTCTAAATCAAAAAATTAATCAGCGTTTACTGCTGTTTCGACATTATACTTTAACCAGCAATACATTTTATTATCTGTTTACTTTTTTTAGATCATTCTTGAAAAAGACAACATGATTACCGTTTTGAAGGTGACTTTTGTATTTCGTCAAATAGATATGTACATTTACTTATTTTAAACTATATTTGTTCATATTCTGTAAACCTGAGACATTTGTCAAACTACAAGTGTCTTATAACAATATGAAGGAAGCTGGTACAATAGGATTTAGCTATTTTTAATGAGATAACCGCCGTTGCTTCGGTGCTTTATTAACGAGTTCGGCGTCACGTCGTAAAAATGGTCTCATACATTTTATCTGCTAAATTAAGTGTAATATGACACGAGTAGAAAATGTCTCTGGTACACCGAACAAAAAAATCATGAAGTAATACGTAGTACTACGTTATTATATTTAAAAATATCAACGAAACTAAAAATCGCCATCACTATGCTAGACAGATCGTTATTATCGCTAATTATTTTGAAAATTAAACATTTTCATGGACATATTTTTGATGAAGTTTTAAGTATAATATTTAAAACAACCGTATGCGCCCTGAATAAATATTGGATCATTTACTTATTGCGGTGCTCATTTAAGCCACTGAATTGCACAATTCTGCGTTACGTTTGCACAATTCCTGCGTTATTTGCACATTCCGATCTTACTGGATATACACGGTGATACCGATGAAAATGAATCCTGTATGTATAGAAAACTTGAATAATTATACAGAATAAAATAAAATGAAATAAAGATATTAAAACAATGTTAACCAAAGTACAAAAAAAAGAACAACAAAAAAAAAACAAAAAAAAACAAAACAACAACAACAACAACAAATAAACCAAAACAACAACAACAACAACAACAAATAGATAAAAATAAACATTCACAAAATAATAGAATATATTCTACCAGTGTTGATCTTGAAGATAAATAGATAAATAAGAACGTTCGACGTATGATTTTATTTGGATTACAAACAGCAGAATATTTGTTTACGCTATAATTAGTATACAAATTTATTTTGACTACTATTATGCCCGTTATGTAAAGCACACTGTGTATTTTTTTTAAGATTATTATGATGTATTGGTACAAAATATTCATTGTATGTAAATTATATGGTTTATGATTTTTTAAAACAATTCTCTGAACATAAAAACGCCATAAGATATATTTCAATATGTAAGTTTACATAATATCCTAACTATGGTTCTATTTAACAATGATCTTTCTTAAGTCAAGTAAATCATCGTGTATTTACTAATAGGTTGTGACAGTTTCAACAGAAATTTGCATGTAAGAGATTCAAATAAGAAACACTGTTTTAAATGGGCTGGTCTTTCGATATGTTTTCTTCTCAAATGAGACTTAATAACTGTTTAAACATAATCTTAATAAAAACACTCAAAGATAGGATCTTTATGTCGTTACTCGCGAGTTCAGACATTGTCCTGTCATTCATTTCCGCCATTTGCCGATATTAATGGAATACTGTCGGAAATCAGTCTTCTAAAAGGATATTACTTCTTCTCGTGCTGTAGTTTTGTTACAACACTTAACCATAAGACTTGTAATATGCGTTTCTAATTTAGAACGACACTTACAGTCCACGTGAAATACTATAAAAGAGGTCAGTATATGCAAACATAGCCCTTATTGTTGTAGCCATGCGGTATAAATGGTGTGATAAATAATGCAACATCACATATAACATGTATACGACTACATGAATCTTGTTTTTTTTACTTTTTTAAAGTTTAGTACTTTTTACTTAGATTTTATCTTCTTGAATTATTTTGGCTCATCTTCAAGAAAATCCAGAAAATCCAAAATCATACGGGATGCATATATCAAATAATTGAGTTGAACACTAACAAGTACATTTGTATTATTATAAACAGCAGTTTACAGATTTAGAATCCAACAAAAAACACAAATAACTCGTTTTTGTCATCAATGTGATGATCTTTTATAGGTGTCCTTTAGTTTCTGTTGTGGGAGAGCAATAATTGTGTATTTTATAAATCCTGGTTCAAAATCATCACACTGGAATATAATCCTTTTTACAATATCTTTTATAATCCTTTTAATAAGCACAACAATCCATTTGTCTTGTTTCACTTTTATTTTTAATCCTCTTTTACCTTTAACAACTTTACACTTTACAATAATCAACTTTTAACACACTTTTAAGAATACTTTTTTATAATACTTTTCAGAATGCTTTTACCTTTTAGAACGAATCAATGATTGAATTAACATTGACAAAATACTTGCAATATGCCCGTCTGTAGATTTTCCACAGTCTTTCTGGAAAAACTCTGGAAAATAACTGATTTTCCATGAATTTCCATGAATTTTCATGGAAACAAGCTTTTTTCCACAGTATTTACAGAGTACTCTGGAACAATTTTCATGGAGAACTCTGGAACTTGACTTTTTCATCAAAGAAATAACCATGAAACAGTTCTTGAAACTCTGGAAAGTTAACACTTAGACAATTTTCAAGGAGTTTTACTCTGGAAAACACTTAGTCATTTTTGAGAAAGTTTTGGACTTAGGAAATTTTCATTTTATTTCTGCATTTACATATACTTCACTAAAGTCTTAATACATTTAACTTAAATATTTTTTCCTAAGTAGTCATAAATAATCTTTTTAATATAAGACAGTTTTCTGGTTTTAAGACATAATGAAAATAAAGACAATTTAAAATATGGCATTGACACAATTGTAAATTGTTGAAACAGCAAGAACAAATGAATTTAATTACTTAGCATTGAGATTGGTCATACATGTGTACTCATTGTAATTAAAAGTAGCAGTTAGCAAAATAAACACTTATAGTTAAACAAAATGAAACCGTAATAAGCCCCTCAAGAGCTCAACTGTTTCTTTTTTATTGCAAAAAAAACAAAAAAAGCTAAAAAAAAAACACATGCAACTCCATTGCCACACTTTGGCATTAAAAGCGCATTTAGGTATTTTTTCATTTAACTCTCATTATTTTCAAGGTATCTCATATCAAGCCTCAGATCTGAGAGGTTCATTATTATATATTACCCTTAGTTGGAAAAAATAAATACACAATTAAAGAGAAACAATTAAATTTAAGAACAAATGTAATTGTTATGCACTTATGTTTCTTTATTAATTGATGATAAATTTATTATGTATCTCTATTGAAGTATATAATTATTTTATCTATATATTCATCTTGTGTAGAGGTAACTTATGTATAGTGATTAATTTCTGGAACATTCAAATCAGCATCAGCCACAATGTAAATATTTATGACCCCTCAAGTGGAACCAACTGTTTTCATAAACACCAAAGTTAAACTCACCTATCTGATATAAGAGAATAGAAAGAGGTAAAGTAGGTTTACAACCTACTATATTACACTGTAGTTTCCAAGTAACTTAATACCCTTGCAGAACAAATCACAGGTCAGAACACTCCTTCCAGGCGGGTCATTTGAACAGAAAGCATTGAAAGCTAATGTTTATTAGTGCCTAACTGCTTGTAAGTTTTTGTTTTGAAAAATTATGTTTGAGCATTGGATATTAGATCAAATGAGTTTAAACTGGACAAATTTACAAAAGTTTTCTGGAAATATGAACTTTTAAACATGTGTATTTCATGATTCAGTGAAAATGGAGGGAACTACATGTATATCATTGTATATATAACCATTTCTAACAGTAAGTACAAATGTATTTTTATTTTTTAACACTTATTATTTTAGTTTTTTCAAATTTTCTTTGCAAGTATACACTGTTTTAGTGATTGTATTTCTACATACATGTAACTTTACAATATTAATAGTTAAGAAAATCTTTTTCATTTTTGAATAATGGCGGGAAATTTTAAATCAGAGATTATAATTTTCCATTCAAAATATTTGTGATTGAAACAGATTCCATATCAAGCAATGAATTTCCAAATTCACATTTAATAAAATTCATATGCCTTAATTGTAATTTCTTGTTACTCATGTACATATGTTTATTTTTCAACATATTAGGTTGCAAACTTTCAAGTCTTGGAGTCACATGAGATGTTTCCTCTCAAGGATATCAGATCAGGGAAAATGAATAAATGTACTGTTGAATACAGAATGCTTACAGAACTATCCTGGTAATAATTTAGTTTGTTTTGTTGAAAAAAGTCGAAGTAACATGTTTTCATATAAATGCATGCTATTTTCCAAACACTGAACAAAATGTTGCTTCATGTTTTATGCATATATTATTGTTATACTGGCTCCACTGAACACATCTCTATTCTGATTCCACTGAACACATCTCAAAATTTCAGTGGTAATTAAGTACTTGTGAAGATCATTAAGTAATTTAAAATACCATTACATAAAGTTGTCATTACATAGCTATAGGAAAAGCAGGGAAATAATTGACACAAGTTTATCATAATGTTGATTTTGACCAAAAAAAAAAATATTTTCATAAAAGCATGGTATTTACTTTGTATAACTCTGTGTTGATATTCTGAAAAAATCATTGAATTGAAAGTTTTCCATCTTAACTTTTTTCACCCTTTCATGTTTTTTATCAATCCTGTTTAAACAATACTAATTATATTGACATTGTGCATATAACACAAGTACATGTATTTATATACAATTAATTCATATTTTTCAGTATCCATCAGAGAGGTCACACCACAAGTCAAGAAGATGTTGCATCATGCGAAGTGAAGGATATATACATGTGTTCTAGATGGATGTTAAATTACATTTGTTTGAATAAAACACTCTGACTTCAAAATAATTGTGAAATGTGCAAATTACTATAAGTGTTTGAATTCTTGATGACTAGAGTGCTTTTTTGGATATGCTAATAAAAACATATTAAATGCAAATTAAAAGGTCATTTAATTTTATTATGCAACCATCATTTCAGTAATCCCAAAATGTTCCAGAGTGAATTCCATAGTATTTCCAGAATTATTTCAAGGCTAATGGCATCTTACCCCATATCCTATTTTTAACTGCGGAACTTTTTCCACAGCGGCTCCGGAACATTTTCCACAGTAACTCCGGAACATTTTCCAGAGTAACTCCGGAACATTTTCCAGAGTAACTGCGGAACATTTTCCAGAGTAACTCTGGAACATTTTCCAGAGTCACTCCAGAACATTTTTTCCGGAGTAGAATGTCATTTTAGCAGAATAATTTCCAGAGTTGCTTTGAAGACTCTGGAACATTTTCATGGAAAACTCCGGAAAAGTTTCATGAAAAAAGCTCTGGAAATTCATGGAGAAAGTACATGAAAATTCACGATTTTTTTTCAGTTTTCTTTGAACAACTCCGGAAAACTAGTCCGAATTATCCAGAGTTGGCAATTTCCATGAAAATTCCGGAAGTTTTCATGGAAATTCATGGAAAATGTACGGACGGGTATACCATCAAAGATTATACTAGATGAAATTACTAGTATATTCTAAACTACTATAGAATTCAACAGAACAAATACATCAATCATTTCTAACAGTTTCTAGATAATTATAAACGCTATACATCATTGATCATAAATACAAATCCTTTAACAATTTACCACTATGAAATTTATTTATTTATTTATTTATTTAAGTCTCATTCATGTACATACACAAATAAAATTCATAAGCAAACATAAAACACAAAAAAGTACATGACCATTCAATCATTGAATTATAAGAGACTAGTAAAACATTTATAATAACACGATAAAATATCATACTAATCATAAAATTATATCCAATTATAAATAATAACTAACTACACAGTACAAAAACTATAAACTAATGGAAAGAAATATACATTTATATATTTATATGATTAAAAAAAAAAAACAGTCGCTATTTTTTATTATTTCAAAGTAAGAAAAAAAAACATACATCAAAACATAAAAAAATATATATATAAAAAAAAATACAGTAGCATGTTCTATATAAAATATATTATTTACATAAGTAAGATTGACGACGTTGAAGAATATTAAAACAGGTTTTGGCACATTTTCTGACTAATGTTGACTAGAGAACAAAAATGCAAGTTGGTTGTCTTTGCTAAAATTAATAAAAGAAGGTTCGTGCAACACAGCCTTAGAGATTAATTCTGATCTAAAATCATCATATACTGGGCAGTCTAATATAACATGCTGTTCATCTTCAAGTACATTACAAAAAGGACAGTGGCGTTCATCTAATCTCAGATTCTCGTACCTACCCGTTTCGATACGAATAGGGGCTACCCCACACCTAAATTTACAAAACGCTGACCTATGCCTAGGGGGTAAGATCATTTTACAGTACTCTTCTGACGTATGTTCCTGCTTAAAAGTTCTATAGGTTCTCAGCTTATTCAGACCCCTACCTGACGGGCCCACTGTACAATTAACCGAACGGATCCATTCAGCCTTAAATCCCTCCATAGTCAAAGATTCAACCTGGCGCACAAAGGAAGTTTTAGCAATGGGTGAAGACAAGTCGCAAAACATACCAAGATTTAATTCATTCCATTGCTTTTGGACATGATAAAACCAATTTTTACATTGAGGAGCACCTTTTGTCAACGACCAAAGTTCAATCCGTTTATTTAGTCTACAAGTATTTGTTTGGGAAAGGCGCGCCCAAAAAGTGGCCACTGATTTCCATTGCCGGACCAAAGGGGGGACCCAACCCATATCTCCTGAAACTGCTGCATTGGGCGTATATTTTCCCACCCAAAGGAAGAATCTCATAGCTCGATTATGGACAGCATTTATGCAAGAATATGACTTATGACCCCATAAGGAAGCCCCATACGCAATAACAGGCCATACAACAGAATCATACAATTTAGTAAAAACGCTATGAGGAACCCCTCCAACTAACTTACACTTGGCTATCAGTAAGCCTAACGCACGGCTAGCGCTTTGTGCCACCATCCTAGCTGTAACATTGAAATCGACATGCTCATGCAAAACGATTCCCAAATATTTGTATTTATCAGCATAACTTAACGTATCATGACCACATTTAAAGACAAAATCTGATCTAGTACAGGATTCTGGGCGGAAATGAACAATGTTACTCTTGCTTGTATTTATTGACATGTCGTTTATACTACATGAAATGAAAACCAATACATTTATAATCCTAATCCCTATTCAAATAATAACAAAAAGAGATAATCGCGATCATTCGCGACAGTCATCCGCAAAAACTGCGACTTAAGCGATACATAGCATAATGAGATAAGATATTGAATGAGTGTAGGTTTAATACTTAATTTATTGAACGAGTTGATTTAAATCATATTATGCGAGCCTCTGGCGGGCATGATATTGTTTTATTCAACAAGTTCAATACATTTAGTTTTGAATCTGCACGAATATAATATTATATGTATCACATATATAAAATAAGAAAGGTAAACTGTTAAAAAGAGTCATTTTTCATTGACGCGCCTATAGTGTAACGCTAACATAAGCGCGCTATAACGCTATATTTATATATGGTGCAAATGATGTCACGCAAAAGTTTTAATTAAAAAATGGCCTTATTACACTCCTGCTCCACGGTTTATCTGATAAATAGAGGTAACTGGATCATTGTTTAATGATTGACAGGTAGATTGGATGCAGACCAGATATTGACCGTTAGGTTCTGTAATATGGAGAACGTCCAGACATATTAAACTAGAAAATCAAATTAAGTTGCGTTATTACCCTTAATTGCATCGCTTTTTTCCTTATCTTGTTTCTAGCTACACAAGATATTGTTTGTAGTGATTTAGCAATACAAAAACCACATGGTACAAATGTAATGATAAAAACACAAAATCCTATTCAAATCAATTTAGTTAAATGCGTTTGGGGTCGAATGCTAAAATGTTTGTCAAATGTGCATGTATTAAACTTATGAATCAAACGGAAATAATATTATATCAATTGATGCTGTCTATGAAAGAAGAACTGTTCCACCAAATAGGTTTAAAGACTTCTAAACAAAACATGTTTTTATAAAAACCTACTACAATTCGTGGCAAAGACCGAAATATTCTTATTATTAAAACAACATGCATTTGTATTCAATATGTAAATTTTGTCAACTGCTTAAAATCGTACAACAATGATTAAATTCTAACTTTGTTTGTTTGAGAGCTATTTTTACGTTCATAGTCGTTTGATTACTGTACCTAATGGAAAATAAGCAATTGTGTCATATTTTGTTTTGTTGTCGTTTTATTGTATATAACATGATTTATTGTAGATCCGGCCATTAAATGTGTTTATTTGGAAGCATTTTAACCGTTATGAACATTGAAAACTGAAAAAACATTGAAAAAAATTGAATGAACAAATCTTTTTAAAGTTTTAAAGCACCTTGATTTAATACCTTGCTTGTTCAATATAACATTTGATCATAAGAGTCTCATAAAGCATTTGAATGCAAATAATTTATTGTTTAGAACCGAGCTTAGACATCACATAATGCATTAGTTGAAAATATATATTGTAAAAGGTAGAAGAAAAGTATACTTGGTCATAAATTGATAACCTTGTCATAATCATGTAAATTAATATTTCACAGAAATCTGCTTTATGATGTTGTTCATGATCTTAAAACAATATTAGCTCATAATCAATGATTTATCATAAAGGGTTATGTTAATATTCTTAATTTCAACAACATAACCATGACAAATTCGAGACTTTATCAGCTTCTTGTAATTTCTTGTTGAATAATGAGGACTTTTCGATCTAAAGTCAGTAAGATTTAATGTACAATGTACAGGGAAGATATAAATATTAGAAGAATTTTCATTGGTCATTTTATTACAAAAAAACTGAAATATCGGAATCTTATAGATGATTCTAAAATAAAATAAAATACTATTTCTTGTCGTCAGTTTGAAATAAAATGTTAAGATTAGTTCTAAAAGAAAATGTATAAAATAGTTTTTGCGATTATAAAATATAGTTTTAAAATAAAATATACATGATAGTTACATAACTTTCTACTACATTGCTAAGCTATTTGAGTTCTGAACGTATTGCTAATTTGTAAATTTATTACACCAATAAAAAAGTCTCAACTGTTTATTTCCTTCTGATTTCTTGTTTTGATTAAGCTTCTATTGTTTGATTTATTCTATTGTCTATCTGAAATAACATAAATACATGTATCTATAAAAAATACATTGAGAGTAAAACTGAAGTGTAGCGAAATGTTTAAGTACAAAATGAATTGTTCTTGAATTATTCTACAAAATCCTTGCTTTAAAAGTTTAAATTTTGCTTCAGACCCCCAAACCGTTAACCAAATAATGTTGTGGGTGGTGTTATGAACCACTTAAAGCGTATCTGCTTTATTAACATTTTTTTTTGTAAAGGTCGTTTGCAAAGTTTTTACGGTATATTATTTTCTTTTCCATCAAAGTTGATTGCATAAAATTAAAAAATCAAAAGTTTAAAAGTACGAGTAGTTTGTTGATTTTATTCTATCCACTATCCCTTTATTTCTGTTTGAAATTTTTCGTATAGATTGTGAATGATTTCATAATACTGCCAATACTGCATATGAAAACAAAATTATAAAGTTAAACGTAAAAGCAAGTAATAAGGACAGCCTAATGAAAACCGTAAAATGAAAGTTGTCCTACTTTGTAGAGAAATCAATTAATTCATTTATTTAATCAATTTAAATTTTTTGATTCATTGACTTATTTATTATCTAATTGATTTATTTATTTGATTTTTTATTAACGATTAAATACATTAAAATCATATTATAAAAATAAATTAAGTTACTCATGTATTTATTTCATATTAATTTATGAATGAATGAATGAATAATGAATGAATGAATGAATGAATGAATGAATGAATAAATTAATTTACCTATAATTAATAATTTAAATGATCAATTGATTTATCTATTTATTTTACAACTCAATTTTTCATGGACATAATAATAATTCATATTCTACTATTTTCTTAAAATAGCGTATAAATGTACGATTTCAATTGTAACAGGGACACGACTTCATCCATGCAGTACATCCATGAAATGCGCCGACATATTTCCATAATTGTTTCTGATATATCAATATCTTAACTATAACTCATGGAATGGAATTGGTTACCATTGACTCTTAAACGCATATTTTTGAAAATGGTAAATGAAACAAAATAAGGGTATGTCTTTGTCTGATATGATTGTTATTATTCATTGTCAGAGCGCAATACATTAAGGTATGCTTTCTGAAAACTATAACCAGAACGAAATATATAAATAATATTTGCAAACATTCACATCATTCAAGAATTGTTCTTGATCTCAAGTAATATCCTCTATAATTCATCATTTATAAACAATTATGATGCCTCGTTCGTACACGATCCTCACTTTTGACAATATATTGTCAATA